GGGTAGGTCGAGAGGATGGCAACCACCACCCTCTCATACTCCTGCGCCGTTGGGTAGCTGTCAAAGAAGGGGTGACTAGTTACATATTGCTCTGGTTCATCAAATGGCCACACTCCAGCAAGATTAATGACTTACAAGTCTGTGCAATATCTGGCGACCATGTCACTCGCTATGGTCCTTATCATGGTGGACCGGTCCGTCCTTGACAGCGTGTGCGGGCAGGCGTCCAGAACTGATTGCAACTGAGGATGGAAGGCCGGAAGCCTGTAGATTGGTGGGACGTGGGGGTCCCTGGCAGTCCTGGAATGGCTCCATGCCTCCACCAGACGCCGTGCGGGCCCAGCCCGCCTCGGAGTCACCTCCCTCTCTGGCTCGTCAATGAAAGGGTCCGGTGACACGCGCACTGAATCGTCCTGCTGCACCGCTGCTGACGGCGCTGATTCTGTGCAAAAAAAAATGAAATTGTAGTGTCAGGAAAATCCCCCCCCCCCTCTCTCCCTCGCAGACCGTACTCAAAGGAAATGCACCCTGTATAATTCTGCTGTAATATGTGTACTAACCTCTCACTATGACTTGCAGGCGAGTGTCCTCTTTCAACCCGTCGTAATCATCATCATGGCGAGGAACATCACCTGCTGGTCGCGCTGCCTCACAAACTCCTTCTGGACCACAAGGTCTTCATCCTGGACCACAGCGGTTAGGTGCTGAGCAAACCTATGCCTGAAGACCCGCAGGAGTCCCCTCCTGCTCACATCTTCGCAGGCGACTCTCTTCACAACTGGTCTGAATTCAATCACGAGGTGCATTGTAGATCTGTCAATCAGAGACAAATAAAAAATGCATTAAACAGCTGCTGCGTTCATTTCTCAGTAACGCCCCTGGTCATAAACCAAAATGCTAGATGTTTAGCCTCATGCTAAGTGGGGCCTTACCGTTGGCCGTCGCCAGTGAGCCACAAGTAACTTTCAATAACCTGTCATTTTCCAAAATAACACTACTAATATTCATAATGTCAATCAGTAATACAATTTCAGAAGTAAAGTAAAGAAAAACAGCCTACAACCACTCCTGCTGCTGCGAGGAGACCGTGAAGCCAGGGTTGTCGAGCATGGACTTGGTCACCGTCTTGCTCAGGTGCTTAGCTTAGCAGCCCCAGCCCCTCGCTTAAACCTGCAATTAGAGTCATGAACATTGTTTTGTAAGTAAACTAAGGCGCGTCTGGGATGCTCACCTGTGCCGCAGCCCCCGCGCGACCTGCCCCCTGGCGTGGCGTTCACGGCCCACTTGTAAAGCACTGGCCGGAGCTTGCACGGTAAAAAGGAATGTATTGAAATCCGAGGAAAATTCTTGGATTTCAGGACTGAGTGGATAATTCCAAGATTGGCCCTTGACATCCCAGACTTTGTCTTTAAACCCGCAGCCTCCAAGGGAATTCCTTAGAATTTTCTTTTGGTATTCAAGGGTTTTCCTTGTAGTATCCAGACCAGATGGTGCTTCAAGGAAAACCCTTGAATACCAGACGAAAACTCTAAGGAATTCTCTTGGAAGCTGCGGGTTTTAAGACAAAGTCTGGAATTTCAAGGGCCAGTCTTGAAATTATCCACCCAATCTTGAAATCCAAGAAATTTCCTCGGATTTCAATACATTCTTTTTACCGTGCAAGCCCCGGCCAGTGCTTTACAAGTGGGCCGTTAACGCCAGGCCAGGGGGCAGAAGCGTGATCTTCACGCAAGTTCGTTAGTGCACATTCTCGAATATCACCCAAGTGCACCTGCGAACTTGCATGAAAATCACGCTGCTAGCAGACGCTTGCGCGAAAATCACGCCGGAAGCGTGAAAAATTACGCTAGCTCCAAAGCTGATTGAGCTGAAAAGAATGGCATACCCCTACGGCGGCCTGTTATTGGCTGTTGCATAAAGTCAACTGCTAACCAAAACAACTCTTTTCACGCTAGCAGCGTGAAAATCACGCTCGCATCTTGTGAACTCTGTATCCATCTTTAAACGTGTTGACACGTTTCGTTTATTTTCGTCAGGAAAGGCGCTGATTGCTGTCTGCTATTTGTAAACACGTATGGTGGTAAACACAAAATAGTTGTCGAGTGAAGGATAAATTTCGACGAAATGGATAGAGTAAATCGCTACTATAATTATATAAACTACTTAAATGGAAGGAGAGGGGCTACTGCTATATTTGGCCTGATACTAATAGAGGAATTGAGGAAGCGTTATCCAGAGAGAAGTGTGTGGATTCATCACGATATTGCTCGAAGAGATAGATTCGGTTGTCACAACACTCTTTTTCTAGAGCTGAGTACAGAAAATCCTGAGATGTACAGAAAGTGAGAAGACTGTGATTTGGGGCTAAGCCACATTGAATTCAAGTGGAAGAAGCCTTATTGTAGCTTTCACAGTACCGCACAGAATATTGATTAACGCACATGTGTATGCTTTTATAGGTGTTTACGAATGAGTCCAGAAATGTTTCAGTGGCTTGCTGACAAGATAAGGCCTCTTGTGGAAAAGCAGGACACACATCTGAGGCGTAGTATATCTGTGGAGCAGCGTCTCTCAATCACACTCCGACATTTAGCCACAGGTGAGAATGACTATGGTGAAACTGAGGCATATCGTTTTGTATTCTTTTCCTGTATTATAATATTACTCAATGTATTTATTGTTCTTGGCCTTGCATATTCATTTTGGCTATTTTCCATTTCCGTGAAAGGATCATATTCTTCATTATGCTGTCCATCACTAGCCTGTGTAAATAGTAAAGAAAGTATGTAAGATTTTTTATGTTTTTACATTAGAAATGAAAGGACTTCATGAAAAATGAATGAAATTGAAAGGAGAAGAAAAGACCTTATACATGGAAGAATACGTGAGGTTATGTATGGCAGAATGGAAAATGTGATTCCATCCAATTAGACTAGTGGCAGTGGTTGAACACAAAATTTGTAGCTAGAAACGAATTTCGGTATGGAAAACAACTTACCATGATTAATTTGGTTGAAAGTTGTTGGGATATTCGTTGAATATAACCGGTTGAGCTGTGAAGCACGTGCAGGGTAAGGTGAGTCTCGGACGGAAGATGGCAAGTGGCAAGGGGGGTGGATGGATGGCCGATGAATGATGGATGTGTAGGAGGGCGGAGCACGTCGGGCAGAGAATAGGACAAGAATTCTTGGAACCGGAAGAGTGTAAAGACATGTTGAGCGGCTACACTACATGGCGGGGAAAACTTTCTGGATTTGAATTTGTAGTTTGTGTTAGCGATTATGATGCAGCGTTCCTAATAGTATTTCAAAGATTACTTACAGTGTGTCATGGAAGTTTATAGAAAAAAATGTGTTTTTTTAGTGATGCCAACCACTGTTGCTTTTTCTGCACTTTTCTGCTTTTGTTTATTCTTTCCAACCGGGTAAAGTCAAATGGTTCCAAAAGTAAACCTGACAGAGTTTTTGTCCTTGACAGTGCAACATATGTCAGGCCCGACTTCATTTTCCTAGGTCCTATATCAATATGTGCCCATAAAAATAATTAATAGAAATTATAACTCATGGGTGTCCCTAATAGTTCAGATTTAATTTGGCAAACAAACATAAACAGTAGAAAAATTACCTTTTCTAGAGTAAGTCCTTGTGACTTATAAATAGTGCAAGCATAATTCAAACACACAGGGAACTGTGAAACAGTGTATTTTTTGCCTTGAGCATTTTCATGGGACAGTTGTGTTGGTCCAATAGGTATTGTTCTCAAGTCTAAATCTAAGTACGGGCCTTTGTAAGATTCAAAGTTGCAAATTAAAACCGCTGGAGGGTCTTCTTGTGGTGTTGCATCTGGGTGGTAAATGATGTCAATTACCGTGCCCACAGAACCATTCACCAATCCTTTCTCAACCCAAAGGTTTGTCCGTAGCATGATTTTAGATCCTTTTGATAGAAATAGATCTTTTTCCAAGGTGTCAGTATCAGATAGAGAAACAGTCCCCTTCTTCTGGCTTATTTTGGCAGTAATTTTAGCAACTGGTAATCTTGTCCTTGATGTTGGGTCAATGTTTTGTTTCAATTTATTGTGATTAAAGTCATCCTTTTCTCTGTACCAGGCAGCGGACATGGTGGAGGAATGTATGCAGAATTTTCCTCGAGATATGTTTTCATGGAACATTTATTCCAGACTCCTTTATCTCCAATGCGGCCATTGGTCCCAACATCTACATAGATAAATCTCAACCCAGCATCCACAATTGCCAGCAAAACTATACTGAACTGACATTAGGAAGGCTTGTACACGCCAGAGGCACTACCACTACTCTTCATACTATTCCTAACTCTCCGAAGATTATTGGAATAAGTTTCTTTTATATTTTTAAATCGGTCTCGAAGTATATCACCTGGGGAAAGAATGACATTGATGTAAGTTATTTAGAAAAGGAGCATAACCTTTCTCACAATTGCTTCGACGCGGATGTGGAAGTAACTTTCACCTCTATGTGCAAAATACATTTCCCTTCAGACATTGTCAAAAAAATCATGAAACTCACCTGTGTGTTATTTCATTTCAGCACTAATTTCGTGCCAAGCCATGGGCTTTAATCAGTTCTTCTGTAAATTTCTAATCTAATATCCGACAACAAGGGATAATCATACACTTTCATTACTAGATCAACCTCCTGCCCCTTGGTAGACCCAGATTTGTGAGAGAGTGAGTGAGTTTCCTCCTGTTCAAGTCTATTTTCAACAGCATTTTGAGAATTATTATCAATAAAAGTCTGGTCATAATGAGGGCTAGTGTCCAAACTTTGAACAGAGTGATTTGGAGGTACATCATCCGTTGTAAGGAGGGTGTCAATGCCAATGTCGAAATTTGGTACA